CCCCCCCCCCCCCGCACACTCCCATGGCTGCCTGGGGAAGCTCCCTGTTCGCTGCCACCACCGCCACCTGCAGGAAGTTGCCGTTCCCCCCCCTACTTCTGGGGGCACGTGTTGTTCATGGCATGTAGCGTTTGCACCAGGCTAAATGTGTCTATACGAGATGCTAGGTCGCTGTAGCTATGATCTACAGGGATATCGTTCATCGCTGTGGCAACATAGCATTGGCGGGCTCTAACTGTGATGCCGCCGCTACCGTGCAGTAGCAATGATCTCCTCAGTATTATTTCATTGCTCCTGCACAGTGGGGTTTGAAATGACCTGTGCGCCTTCGGGACTGCGCAGTCATGGCGGGTACTGTGTGTTCATTTAGTTCTTGCTAAAGCAAATACTGAATAACTGCACAGCAAAAACTGCCCAGTGGGGCAGACGTGTAGATGACTGTGCACACTGGATCCTGCGTGCAAGGTGGGTCAATGGGCCCAATGCAGACAGACCCCCAGTCTAGTACACAGGGCTAGCCTGGCACAGGTGTCACATCAAGCAGACATCCCCATGCAGCCTCATGTCATGTACAGCCCATGCCAGGCAGGCTCCACAAGGAGCATCAAGAGATCAGAGACTCGTTCATGGACCTGATTTCTCTTGATCCAAACCTGACAGATGCCAGAGCCTGATGTGACAATATGTGTCTCTGTCCTTCAAACTTACGGTAGTGGCAGCTCCCACTTGGGACAGGGGTTGGTTGGAGTCCAGCAGCTGGAAGATTTGTGGTGTTTGGAATTCGCTCTCTTCATGGATGTTCGCATGGCCAGAAGCGATGACCCCTTCATGGGAGAATTTTTAAAATATCAACCTTTCTCAATCCCCAAATTGAGATTTTTTTTTTTTTTTTAAATGAGCCAAACTGTCCCAAAACATTTCATTTTGACCTTATCAGTTTTGTCTGGACTTCATCACAGCAGTTGACAATCTAGAGCCCATGACCACATTGTATCCACCGTGTGGAGGAAAGTCTGTTGTTAACAGGGGCCTTCTCTGACCCTGCGCTGTGCTGTACTGCAGCTGGGCAGCAAAAAGAAGCAGCACTGTCGAAAAGTGGTAGTAGTCACCTGGTTTTGGTATCAGCCTAGTTTTCCCCTGAACTAGGTCAATCTTGCCGAAAAATGGAAAATGTTGGTGATCCCCTGCTCTATCATATTGATGTGTCCATTACATAGCATTACAAAGACATCCCAATAGCGCTCCTTGCAACTTTGGAGAAAAAATTATTAACATATATTATAGAATATATACAATACTAGAATTTTTACCTAACTTGGTAACATTAAATGTAGGTTAAACAACTGTTAGGGACATACTTAATTTTCCATCCTTACGCATGCTATATTTATATTAGACTTGTGAGTCTACTGCAGAAACAATAATCCTGAACATTATCATCAATCAGCATTGAAAATAACTCTAAGGATTATCTGGCCCTAACTAACCTTGCCCAGTTCCGTCAAATTTTTCTTATACAGGCTGCTTTTCAAAGACTTTATTATTTCATTTCTCGCCCACCTGGATACCTCCTCCAACCTCTCCCTTTCCTTCTTAAAAAGTGAAGCCCAGACCAGCAGTAAGAAGTGTCACTGTCACCTCAAGTGTCTTGCACCTATTAAGACAGCTAAAAAATTGCATTTGCTTTCTTTACAATTGCACCAAATTGCCAATTTATGTTGAGTCTGTGATCTCCCAAAACTCCTGGATCCTTCACATAAATGCTGGCTCCCTGGCACTTATCTCCCATTCTGTATTTGTGCTTTTCATTACGTTTTCTTGGATGTAGCATCTTAAATTTATCCATACTGGCTTTCACCCTGTTACCTCTCACCCAGTTAGATAATCAGATGATCTATTAAAATCATTCGTATTCCACTCTTGTCCTCCGGGGTGTTTGCAAACCTTCCCAGTTTTGTGCCAGCCGCAAATGTTCTCAGGCAGCTCTCTATTCTGCCATCCAAATCATTCATCATATCATTTAGAAAACCACACCCCACAAGTCATCATCATCTTGGAATTAAAAGGATTTATTTGAGGTGGCACAAGGAACACCAGACTTTTTCACTTGCACTTCAACAATGCTAACACAAAATGGCTCCAGCTGAGTAACACAGACTTTATCGCACTGCTGAATGTAGCTGAGAACTGTCATGTTTCATAAGCAGAATGCACACGACATTATGAAAACTTAATTTCATGATTTCATTATAGATCTAAAGAAACAAAGTAGTAAACCAAACGCACAAAGTAAAAAGGGACATCCTGTTCTTGGAGAGCATCTGCCTTTGGAGCAGTTTTCTGACAGCACATTTGATCTCCTTGTTCCTCATGCTATAGATGAATGGATTTACCATTGGAGGAACCACAGAATATAGAACAGCTGTCAGAAGATCTAGAGAGGATGGGAAGTAGGAGGTGGGTTTCATGTAGGCAAAGGCACCAGTGAAGATAAACAGGGAGACGACAATCAGGTGAGGAATGCAGGTGGAGAAGGCTTTCTGCCGGCCCTGCTCAGAGGGGATTCTCCACACTGCGGTGAAGATCTGAACATACGACACAACGATGAAAACAAAACAGCCTAGAGCTAAAAACACACTGAAGGCAAGGGCTGCCAGCTCTCTGTGGTATGTGCCAGAGCAGGAGAGCTTGAGCAGCTGGGGTATTTCACAGAAGAACTGGTTGATGGTATTTGAGTGGCAGAAGGGTAGACTGAAGGTGCTCCCAGTGTGCAGTGCAGAGTAGATGACACTAGCAGTCCAAGCACAGGCAGCCATCTGGACACAAGCTCTTCTGCTCATTATTATCCCATAATGCAGTGGCTTGCAGATGGCAATGTACCAGTCATATGCCATAACTGTGAGAAGGGATACATTTGCTCCCAAGAAGCAGAGGAGACAAAACACTTGGGCAACACATCCAGAGTAGGTAATCAACCTGGTGTTCAATAAAGAGTTAGACATGGATTTGGGCACGGTCACTGCAATGGAGCCAAGGTCCAGAATGGACAATTTAATCAAGAAAAAGAACATGGGAGAATGAAGTTCACAGTTAAGAGCTACAATTGTGATGATGAGGAGCTTCCCCATCAGGGTTGCAAAGTACACTGCGAGAAAGATAACAAAGTGCAAGATCTGGAGCTCCCGAATATCAGAAAAGCCCAGGAGCAGGAACTCAGTCACGGTGGTTTGGTTGGACATTTCCCTCTTCAGCGCATAGTGCAAGGCCTGTGAAGGAAGGACAAGAATAGTTGCCAGGATTAATGTTACAAATATAAAAGGAGGCAATCTCATATCAGATACAGCTCATGAACTAACTCTCAGTACTGTCTTTAAGTGCTGTAAAATTGTCAGTGGAAAGTATTATTGCTGGGAATATGTCTTTTTGTGTATAAAAGAGCTC